CAGAATACCGGCGTGAAGCGGAAGCTCTGCTTCCGCGTTTCGTCGGTGAGTGCAGGGGCCGGAGGCACAATTCCCCCCCTATAACATGGTAGCGGAATTATGAAGATACCCCATGAGGGTACCAGCACCCCTGGAGAATCCCTCGCTGAGCATCCACGACCAAGTTACTCCACTCCTGAGCGTGGGTGCTCAGGCTGCTCCGCGTATTCTGGGGGAGGCAAAATTCCGCTCAAGACTACAACTGCTCGGGGCAAACGGAGCAACAAGACCAAGACGACCCCTGCCACGCTATCCGTGAATTTCTTCAATATCAGGGGACTTCACTCTAACCTAAACGCCGTCCACTACCATCGCGAGACGGCGAGGCCGGCTCTGCTCTTTCTGACCGAGACGTAGGTGTCCTCTCCGGCTGATGTCTCGTATCTCTCCTACTCGGGGTACAAACTGGAACACTCCTTTGTGCCTCGGGCTGGAGTTTGCGTTTACGTCAGAGAAGATATCTATTCTCGACGCCTCGGCAGACTTGAAGGTTCGGACCTGTCCATCCGTTGGCTACGCGTAGACAGCGACGCGCGTGTACGAGTGCCTCTATAGGTCCCATAGCGGTAATGCCGAAACAGACCGACTTTTCGACCACGTCCAAATGGCTACAGATTCGTTGCTACAGCAGATCCCCCCAGCAGAGATCGTGATCCTCGGCTACTTTAAGGCCCATCACGCCGAATGGCTTGGTTCACGCTTAACCGATCATGCGGGGAGATCTGTTCATGATTTTGCCTTGGCATATGGTCTGACACAACTGGTTACTTCGCCTACGCGGATTCCAGATGTGGAGGACCATACACCTTCCCTGTTGGACCTTCTGCTGACCTCTCACCCGGACGGATATCAGATTTCCTTCGACGCCCCTTTAGGCTCCTCGGATCATTGTCTTGTCCGGAGTGTGGTGCCACTCACGCTGAAATCGCAGTTACATTCTGCAGGATACCGCCGTGTTTGGCACTATAGGTCAACCGATTGGAATGAGATGCGGTCATCTTTGCATCCTACCCTTGGGGGTGGGTTTACTTCTCGCCGGACGATCCCAACGTTGTTGCGGATTCTGTCGCTGATGTGGTACTTCAGGGTATGGAACTTTTTATTCCTTCTTCTGTGGTGCCCATTGGAGGCAAATCTCAGCCATGGTTTGGTCGCTCCTGTAAAATAGCATCATGCTATAAGCAGGAGCGCTACCAAGCCTGGGCTGACGCATCAACGTCCTGGGATGCGTCCTAGATAAACACCAGCGCTCTAAAAAAGAAGTATAATTCCGCCTCTAGGTCCTTCAAAAGAGTCATTGCCAAGGCAAAGTCAGAGCACATAGGTAGAATTGGCGAAAAACTAGTTAGCCTTCCTTCTGGAACCCGTACATTTTGGTCTCTCGCCAATGCTGTCCAGGGCAATTTCTGTCAGCCATCTCTTCCATCTTTGCACAGGGAGGACGACTCACTGGCCCATGCCGCAAAGAAGAATGCCGATCTGCTAGGCTCTTTCTTTGCGTCCAACTCGACTCTCGATGACGGGGGGAGTACGCCGCCGACCATCCCGCGGTGTGAGTGCTCCATGATGGAAGTGCAGTGTACACAGCGCTTGGTTCGCAAACCACTCCTCTCCCTGGACATCCACAAGTCGAGTGGGCCTGACGGAATCCCCCCAATTGTGCTGAGGACGTGTGCTCCAGATTTGGCACCGGTTTTAACGCGTCTTTTCCGGTACTCCTACTCCCTAGGCGTAGTCCCAAAATCATGGAAGACGGCTTTCGTCTACCCGATCCCTAAAAAAGGCGACCGCTCAGACCCGTCCAACTACCGGCCTATCGCCATCACCTCCTTGTTCTCCAAAACAATGGAGTCTATTGTTAACTGCCAGCTCATGAGGTACCTTGAGGATCACCAGCTGATCAGTGACCGCCAATACTGTTTTCGCCGTGGTCGATCAGCTGTTGATCTTCTGGTCTACCTAACTCATAGATGGGTGGAGGCAGTAGAGTGAAAGGGGGAGGCATTGGCCGTTGGTTTGGACATTGCGAAAGCCTTCGATCGGGTTTGGCACAAAGCGCTTCTTTCGAAGCCCCTTCCTATGGGCTTCCCGAGAAATTGTGCAATTGGATCACCAGCTTTCTTGCGGATCGGGGCATCAAGGTCGTTGTAGACGGTGCAAGCTCGAGTACAAGCCTATTAATGCTGGTGTTCCACAAGGCTGCGTGCTATCGTCAACACTGTTTCTTCTGCATATCAATGATATGTTGCAAACCCGTTCATTGCTATGCAGATGACAGCACTGGTGATGCTCTGTACACCGGCCGTGCCAATATTTCTCGGGAAAACGTCTCCGAGTACCGGGACAACCTTGTGTCTGAAGTCGAGTCTCTGCTGAACAGAGTCTCGGATTGGGGGCGACTAAATCTAGTCCAATTTAACCCCCAGAAGACACAAGCTTGCGCGTTAACCGCTAAAAAGAACTCCTTTGTCGTATCTCTCCAGTTTCAAGACACTCCCCTTGTTGCCTCAGCCAGTATCGTTTGTATCCTCGGCGTCGACATATCGAGTGACGTGCAGTTTCGTGGTCACTTGGAAGAGAAGGCCAAATTGGCGTATTTCTCGCCTCAACTTTAAAAGCCAGATTCGTACTGTCCATCTGCGGCGGATGCTGGGCGGGGCTCCGTACAGCTCCTTCTACTTCACGCACCAGCGCAGAGGGTCAATCGCACGACTGCTTCCGATCGGCTCGATTCACTGGCACTGCGAAGAGATGTGATGTTGCATCTCTTTGCATTTTCTTTCGCATAACGATGGAGAGTGCTCTGAGGAATTGTTCGGATTAATCCCAGCCGCCAAATTTCGTGAACGCACTACTCGGCAAACGTCCCGATACCATCCACACCATCTGGATGCTTGGCGGCCCACCACTGTACGTTTCAAAAGGAGTTTTCTTCCGCGTACGTCCTCTCTGTGGAATAGTTTACCACCGGCGATTTTTCCGGACCGATACGACCTGGGGAAGAAAAGAGCTTACTCCTTTCTAAAGGGGCCGGCAACGCACCTGCAATTCCCCTGGTGTTGCGGTTGATCATGGGCGGCGGTAGTCACTTAACATCAGGTGAGCCACATGCTCGTTCGCCCCCTCTTCTATAAAAAAAGAAGTAATGTTAGTATACGAAACAATTAAATAAAACTCAATAGAAATAAAATGAAATAAAAAATTTAAATTCACAAAATGCATACAAATTTGATAGATTTATCAAGCTCACTTTAGTACATCTAGCTTGACAAGCCTACCTAGTTACGGGCCACCGAGCGTCTCCGCAAAGACCCTCATGATACTATTCGAGCTCCCCCTCACTCTGCGCATTAATGACTGCACTTTTTTATGCATGATCGCGAAGTAGTCATCAGTATGTGCATCGGCGAACATGCCTGATGCACTACAATGAGGTGGAAGCCCCAACAATAACCTGAAGGCATTGTTATATTGAATACGCAGGGTATTGCTTGCCTTTTGGGTATGATTGGCCCAAAGGCTGCTGGTATAAAATGATTGGCAGTAAGCCATCAACAATGTAATTTTAACTGGTACAGAGCAAGCAGCAAACCTTCGAGCTACCATATTACCTCTCACAGCTAGCGCCCTGCGTTTCCTTTCGATACCTAGATCATCCTTTAAATCCTCTGTGACAATGTGACCCAGGTATTTAAAATGAGTTACTCTCTGTAACAGTGAACCATTAAGCTTTACTGGAGGAACACATATTGGACTTTTTTTCCACCTCTGAAAACCAACGGTTCACTTTTTTTTGCATTATATTTTAATCCATGCGCCAATTCGTATTCCACAGATTGACGGGTTTAGCAGCACCATGTCGTCTGCGTAGCTCAAGTTATTTAGACATACTCCATCTATATGACAACCAACATGTGTGCTGCTAAGCTTGTCAATAGGCTTATTTAAGAGAGAAGCCTCGGAGAGGTAAGACCCCCCCTGCCTCACACCGCACTCAAGTTTATACGGGTCAGACAATGCATTGGACCACCTAACAGAATTTCTTTGCTTATCATACCACATAGATAACGTAGACATTAATGAAGCAGGAACTCCCGCCTCCCGAAGCTTTCCCACAGAACATTGTAGGAAACCAGGTCAAAGGCTTTTGAAAGATTCAGGAAACAAGCATATACGGGTGTTTTCCTGTCAGTATAATATTTGACAGTGTGCTTCAATGCAAAAATAGCACTCTCAGTGGATAGTCCCGCGCGAAAACCAAACTATGAATCATGTAATTTTATGTATTCACTGAGGCGCGAGTCCAGCACACTGTCAAATTCCTTTGCTATCACAGTCGCCAGTTTAATAGGTCTGTAATTACAATTATCTGCTATGTCTGCCGTCCTGTTTTTAACAATAAGTACGACTATAGTATCCCAGAAGCTCTTGTGGTAAGTAAGAATGTCCTAAACATAGATTAAAGAAAATGGCCAACACTCTTGGTAAATGTATTCCAGCGTTTTGAAGGTGCTCGATGTTAAGTCCGTCATGTCCAGGAGATTTAAATTTCTTCTATTATTTACCTTATTTCTATTTTTGTGGCACTTTCTTTTTTTTCCTTTTCCTAATTTTTGTTTTCTCTTTACAATGCTTCTTGTTCAATTTCGATCGTAATAGGTGTATCAATTGGATTGCAGTTTTTCCCTCTTTCCCCCCCGGTTCGATGGCAGTCACGGTTGTGCTTTTGGATAAGTTCGACATCCTATAAGACCAAGCACAGTATCATCTTGAGTAGTTTGAAAAGCTGCTAATGAACAATTTTCTTCAGTTGTTACGGATAATCCTTCCGCAGGTTGGGTATCCATCTGACTTTCGTTCGTAAGGATACCTGGGCTTAAGGATGGAGAAAGCCTGTTTAACACTTGTTGATCTAGATAAGCTGGTATTTAAACTATCGAATATGTTTGGCCCTGCATCGGTTACAGCAGACTTTTGTAGTCCAGAGTAGGAACTTGATCAGGCAGCATCTTCAGAATGTACATTTTGAGAATCCTGTTTATTCCCAATGGGATGACATAATCCAGCGGCATCAGGAAAAAAGCTTGTTGAGCTTCAAAGGGCTGACTTAATCCAGCGTCATTAGAAGAGTCCCTGAGTGGCCGATTCGTCACTTCACTTGGCATGAAATCACCGTCCTTGAAAATATGTCTGTGAAAAGGAAATATTCCAGTTTTCCGAAATCCAGATTTTATGTTTGCGGGTGTCATAGCTTAATGAAAACCTAGTCCAAGCAATTCAGCAATATCGTAAACGGAAATTGTTTTTCAGGATGACGCCTTAGCCAAGAATCTGTAGCCGCATTGTAGTAAGTTTGCTGCGGACCAAAGACAGATACCTCTAGTCTAGTGGTTATAGTCTTGGCTGGAATGTGGTGGTGTGGCCAGCAAAGTAACTCCGTTATCTTTTGCGACATTCATTATCGTTTTCAATACCATTTTCTTATAGAACTACAAAATAACAAGAATTAACTCATCGGGGCTCATTGTTACAGTGTCACACAGTGGTCCGTAACAGTGCTCCAGGTGAAGTAATCAGAAAAATAAATTCAAATGAGCATTTTAGGTTATATTTACAAAAACCATAGAAACGATAATTTGACGCTAAATATACAATAAACAGAGGAAGGTTTTTTCACGCTTTATTACTCCAATTCGATTTTTGTTGGATAACTCTCCAACACGGTACTACCTGTGGCAATGACAACTGTATTAAGATGTCTGCTTATGCGCTTTTTGAAACCGTATACCAACAATAAAAGTTAAAGACAGAGATATGTGTTATGTGCATTGTAACAGTGTACCCCGTGTAACACTGTACCCCACCTTACTCTACAAAGGTGAAACCTCAGATTATGAAAACAAAGTATGATGTGTGCGAGCAAGTGGAGAGGCAAGTTTAAATCTTGAAATTCGAAACCAGAAACAGCGAATACTGAATATTATTTAAAAATGATGGTTTATACACAATCGTAAAAATATCCGTGACACCGCATAATATTTTCAAATTTAATAGCTTGTGTAGCTTAGATATTTAAAATTCACACTAACAATGTCTTGAGCTAGTATGTGTATATTGAATTGAGTAAGCGCCATCAATAAATAACAAAGAGTATATAAATCTCTACGTTTATTATATTGGTAGATGATATTACATGTGTTATAATCATAGACTGATGTAGTATAAACTTATACGTATTATATTATCAATTGTAATTTTAAATTTGCCGCACTCAATAAACGTCATATGACATATTATGACCTGACGTTTACAGCCCGTTACACGCAACAAAATAAGATCTTCTGAACATCCAAGAGAATTTTAATTAACTTTAACAAGACTTTTTCCCAAATATTGTACAATATATATAAATTGACACTGTGCATAAAGATACAATTACAAATTATATTTAATTAAGGAGCAATACACTAAAAACACGCAAATAATTAAAACTATTAACGGAGCAAATAGTTTCGCTTCGCATCAGCTGTTATAGAAAAAAAAATAACGGTATCGGCGATAGAGATTGGTCACACCGACGGCCACATCAAATCTGGGGGTCTAGCGTGTGACCCTGTTATTTCTATCCTGCAATAAAATAGCTGTATAATCTTAGTTAAGTTTGTGTCACTGTAATATTAATATACTAAAATTCCAGTGTAATATATGTGTAAAATATGGAACGTGCTACTGGAACAGAAGTGTACGGGTGTGGCTCGCCCCAATCTACGGACATAACGCTAAATATACAGACGACAACTGGTGGTAATTTCTCTGTCAGCATGAACGGTAAAAATACAGTAGAGCACCTTAAAAAGTTAGTTTCAAAAAAACTTAAAGTGTCGAAGGATCGAATATGTCTTCTGCATCGCGAAAGGTGAGTGTGGCGTCTGACGCCAAACTTCTATTGTTAAACATAGGTATCACGGAAATATGTTGCGTCGATGCGATGACGCATTCGCGTCCTTTGACTCGGTTGTTGATAAGTGGTTTGGTGTTCGCAGACAACTGAGAGACGGCACTCTAGAAGAGAATGGTTTACTTGACGGTTCGCGTGTCATCCTGCTGCCGAGCGTCGAGACGGGTCTCCTGGTGAGCACGTCATGTTATTTCGAAACAATAATTCAATTCACCGTGATAATCACTTGTTTTGCAATACAATTAGTTGATACGAAATTATCGCATTAATCTTTCAGAAACTTAAAATGTTACTGTAAATGACTTGTATTATTTATGTAGATATAGTTCATTTATTTAAATGCTTCAACTGTTTACAGAGTCAGAGACCAGAAAATTCAGTAATGCAAGCATTAGAATCACTTAATGACACACAAGTTAATGATTTTTTGAGTGGAAAATCACCACTAAATTTGACCATGAGATTAGGTGACCATATGATGCTGATCCAACTTCAGTTGTCCACGTTAAATTCAGGGTCCTCTAGCAGCACACGATCATTAAGGACATCTACTCCTACTAAAACTACCAATTCAATGAGTACAAAGTATGATCACATTGAATCTCCTAATCCCCAAAGTACCTCTCAGAAACTTGAAAGTGATGAATCAACTTCAGACTGTGATAAAGTTAAAGTGGAAACACCGGCACCAATGATACAAAAACAAGACTTAGAAATGCTACAAAATGCTTTTGACTTATATCGCTCCATGGCTGAAGAAAAATATGCTCACAAAAGTGAGCCTGCTAAAGATGAAATTATGGATACCACAAATTGTACAATGTCAGGTCTATCTGATACATCTTTAGAAAGTGATCAGTCCCCTATTAAATCTCTTTCTAATTTGGTATCTAGTCCTTTGGATGCATCAGTCTCTGAGAGTAGAGAACTAACAATTGCAAATTCTGTCAAAAGTAGTTTAATTGATCTGCTATCAAACAGTAAGCTTTCTAATGAAATAGCATCATCGACAAGCACAATGTGCGACAAGTCTTATACATCAGCACCATCCCATACACCAGAGAGTTCACTCAGTGATGACAGTGACAATTTTACAGACCAAAGTTCATTCTTAGCCGAAAGCACAATAGATGAATATCCCATGGAGAATTTATTTAACAGTGCAATAGACAAAGGCTTATTTGAGGAACAAGATGAATCAATGATGGATAGGGAGATTTCAAATTTAGCTACAACCAGCCATGGAAGTCAAGATTCAACGAATGGTGCTTTACCATCTTTCCAAAGTTTAAGTGAGCCATTAAAAAACAAACGCTTTCAGTATCTTCTACACAAAACTTCTAAGTTCAAGCATCCTATTGGACAAAACAAACAAAAGGCATTTATGCACTCTGTGGTGAATAAGCATAAAAAAAGAATGCAAATGCAACAGGAAACACAACCACAACCATCTACCTCTAAAACTGAACCTTATGTAACAAGTGTTAAGAAATCTGCACCTATTATTGATGACATTGAGATCACTGAAGATATTGCCACACCGTCTACATCTAAAGCAGTCCCTTTCAAAGCACCAGATGCTCCCAAAAAACCTCAAAGAGCATCTCCTACTCCACCAGTGGACACAAAGGCTCTTATAGAAGCTTCCAAAAACTTAACACAAAAATTAAAGAGGTTATCAAAGGAGGTGTTGACAAACAAACTAGATCTCAGAATGGCTGAAGAGTCAGTACGGTCTAAAATTGGTCCCGGAGCTGTCATAGAGTCTATGAAACATCATGGTAAAGGAATATATTCTGGTACTTTCTCAGGAACTCTTAATCCTGCATTACAAGATAGGTGAGTGATTTGATTGTGAATTTTTGTCAAGTTATAGAATGTAAAACAGTCCAAAACCAAATATCCATATATAAATAATCAAAAATGAAGTGGCAATGGGCCAGCTCTATATAGCTTGAAGAACTGCCAACGGATTGGGAAAAGAGGTTCTCGTACTGGTAAGCAAAGTGAAGATGGCCCCCCACTTTATGAAATGACAGTCTGATAAGAGATGCATTAAGTCTCAAGACAATGTTTTGTGGCATGTGATGGTATAGTCCATGATGATGATGAAACTTTTTTTTAATTTATTAATAATAATGTCCTCCAGACCGAATTTCGGCCACGGCGACCTGCTTCAATGGAGGCTAGCCATCGGCGCAGGACAGGATTATAGTGCCCAAGTGTATGCACAGGCACACATGCACTCTCTATTCCCTCACTCTCGTAATCCGATGGGATGATAAACCGACACTACCGGAGAAAGATCAGGCGCAAGACCAACAGCTTTCCAAGGTGCGGGGGTGAGGCACCGCCAACTTCCTGACTCCTGGGCAACTACTGAGAATTTCTTGATGGAAAAACTCAATAATTAATTTTTTTTGGCCCGACCCGGGATTTGAACCCACTAGACCAACGAGGCAGTCGAGGCAGTTAATTTATTACTAGAATAAAGAAATAAAAGTATGAAAGATTTCCTAATATAAGTAATCAATTTAAATCTATATAGATTGAAATATTACTATAACTTTATGGTATATGTTCTATACAGTCACACAGCAGTCATGCAGCACAGCAAACTATAATGTATAATTAGTGTGACTACTTGACATTTCTGTACTTACTCAAATCTAATATATTTGGGTCTACTTTCAGTAGATGTTAAACACTATATTTACATTTCAGATATGGCCGACCAAAGAGGGATATATCAACTATTATACATATATTGAATGACTTATTATGTGCATCACCTCCCATTTTGACACAGGTGTGACACATCTTTTTTGTTTTACTGTATTAATAAATTATATATGTTGTAACATTGAAGTGAATGATATGAAATTACAAATTTAAAATAAGTAATATATAAAAAAAACTTTAAACATTAACTTCAAAACTTTATATTACAAACTTGGATAAAAATTTTAATTTTTTTACACTATGTAAATATGTTACCTTCTGTAACCTACATTCAAACATAGATATTTATTTTAGAATACAAATATTTCTCTTCTAATAGCATCAGTTCACTTCAGTTAAGTTTATAATATGGTAGTTGTTTCCAAAGTTGTTTTAAAATGCATGCAAAATAAATTTCAATTATTTATCATGTCTGTTCAATACTTCCATATGTTGGTGTTAAAATAATTGTACTATTATAATAATATATTATTAATAATAATGTTACATAAATCACTTAAATTTTCAGAAAGATACCAAACACATCTGCTCTCTGGGTATAGCTGATGA